TTGTGTTTTTTCCGCAGACATGCAATGTACTATATGGATTTTCTAACAAATTCTAATAAGGTTATAATTATATTTAACAAGAGGATGTCACATATTTGCTGAATAATTAACTTTTCAGAATGTGCGTCTGTTTCTATGATGTCTAACTGCTGATTTGAAAAATGTTCCGGAGGGCTTGGCAGCGAAAGGGTTAAGAAGCAGAGTCAGCGTGACTTGCCCTATATATGAGAGTACTGTTTTCTATGCAGCTTCACACACAAAGAACCTAACTACCTTCTATGTGATTGACTTACCTTACCATCTGACATGGCATTGCTTTATTCTGACCAATTCTCTTCTAGATGTGCAGTGAATTTATCTACTGCTAAGCATTTCTCTTGCTCCCTGTGCAGAGTCCAATTTCCAGCATATCTACAGAACATGTATTAAACTATGAGGTTTTGCATCTTGCTGTATGTGTCATTGTTGTATGAGTAACAGAATGTATGTTTTTTTGTAAAATTAGTACCTTTTTATACATCACTGTAGGAATGACTTTGATTTAATATTTAAAAGAGGTAATGTTAGGTTGTAACATGATTTGTATATTTCAGAGCAGTGCCAGAGACTAGTCAAGAGGTATAGCATCAGTGGTCTATCTCTATGTAAGAGCAGCTGAAGTCAATAAAACATGCTCCATTCTAATTTTTATAGATATGATATATTTACATACATACAATGCATTGTACACAAAACAAAGAGACATTTGTTGCCTACCCATGACACCCCTCCACCCCCAGAAAAAGAACTTCACATACAATTATCTCATGCTCAATACAATAACATATATAATTTATTCAATGTTGAATCTTAAAGGAGAACTATGGGGTTAAGTCTTTTCCCCATAGCTCTCCTTAGGGTAACGGGAGGACACAAACTAGCGTCCTCCCGTCACCCTAGGCTCAGTATATACTGAGACGCCGCAGCTGAAGCGGATCCCGACAATTGTGCCGGATCCGCCCAGCTGCGTGACTGACAGCTGGCTCTGCCTCTCCAAAGGCAGAGTCAGCTGTACCCTCCCGCGTCCGTTCCGCCAGTCATCGCTGCCGGATCGGAGCGGGGAGGGGGGAATCCAGCCCCTCCCCTGTCACGGCAGAGAGCCGTGACAGGATTGAGAGGTGAGCGAACGCCGTTATGTGTTCGCTCACCTCCCAATCTACTGAGCCGACCTGTGACAGTCTCATTGTCACAGGTCGGCTAGATTTATGAGGTGAGTGAAAAGCACTCACCTCATAGTTCTCCTTTAATAAAGTTATTAAATTAAAACTCTTGACAAACAGCTTAATATGCAGTTGAAATACACTAACGGGGTTACTCACAAAAGGGTGAAGAGTTTGGAGAAGGCAGGAGAAGTGAACAATCTAGGACAACATAGCTGATTTGTAAAAATTCTCCAATTCAGCTATGTTGTGCTAGATTGTTCACTTCTCTTCTCCTGCCTTCTCCAAACTCTTCACCCTTTAGTGAATAATCCTGTAAATATAAACAGCACCTGAAAACTCCCACAAATAGTGTCATTTGTTTAAGTGTAGCGTTTAGGGGTATTTATTTTATCTCTGTACCCCCTAGAAAATACCTTTAAACTCTGACATACATGTATGCTTACTGTTTTATTTCCCAAAGCAGTAGTTCTGTTAAAACAACATTGCGATTTATACATCTCTACCATACTGTCAAGCCAGAAATAGAGAATGACATACAACATCAATAGTTGTACAATCCCAAAAGATTTTTAATTGCTCCAAATTAGGGTAAAATAAAATAAAATAACCATCACGTTTCAGGTGCCCAAGCACTCCCCCTTCATCTGTACTATTGGATGTCTTCATAGTTATGTGCTTTGATATGAAAAATGTCAAATCTGCGCTTATGGGTGAGCACAGTTTAAAAGCTGCTGCGCTATGGACCCAGGGGTCAAACTAATAAAGTGCTAAATGTGCAGCGCTAAAAAGTAATATTACGTGATATTAAGTGAAGAGTACTTAAATCCAGTGTATTCAATATCTAAAAATATTAAGAATGATAAAGTGAAATGATCACATGAACAACCATATGAACATATAAACGAATATGTGGTAGGCTCTAAATGGCCTTAGTGTGGACAATTAAATCACTCCTGTGTCACTTTGATAGTGATAACTTCAAAAAGTGCATTAATTATAGAAAGCTTCAGATAGCTGTATATCAGCTAAAATAATAACAATCAATATAAATCAGTCCCAGATGGTAAACTATCTAACATAAATCATATAACATAAATCCAGGTGCAAAATGGTGCTGAGTTCAAAGTGAATTTAAAGTGAATTTGAAAAAACACGAAAACAAAAATTATTTGCAACAAAGTTCTTCCCACACCACTGTGTACGTTTTCCAAAGAAATTTCCCCCTCTGGGGTGCGCACTCAACCCACTGCTGTGGAGGTAAAGCAGTGTGATTAAATCAGAGGGTCCACATCTCTGGTATCTCTCTCAGCAATGTCCCATCCATCAGGAATTTATAAAAGCATAAAAGAGAACTTCCTCATGGTGTAGTCAATATAAACGTTTATTTTTTAAAAGCATAGGAACTTACAATTAAAATCATAAACATCGGCCGGTCAAATGCAGCGTGCTGCTTGCTTGTACTTCCTGGTTGAGCGTGGTATCACATGGAATAGGCCCGCAGGTCTATTCCATATTTTAGCTGATACACAGCTATCTGAAGCTTTTTATAACTAATGCACTTTTTGAAGTTATCACTATCAAAGTGACACAGGAGTGATTTAATTGTCCACACTGAGGCCATTTAGAGCCTACCACTTATCCGTTTATGTGTTCATATGGTTGTTCATTTGATCATTTCACTTTATCATTCTTAATATTTTTAGATATTGAATACACTGGATTTTAGTACTCTTCACTTAATATCACGTAATATTACTTTTTAGCGCTGCACATTTAGCACTTTATTTTTTAAGTGCTTTGATAGCTGATAATGTAGAGATGACATCTATATTATCAGCTATTGAAGTTCTTAACCTGGGAGAAATCCAACATTGCTAGCATTGCACTGATACTATTCTTTTGAGTCCTATGATTGTATACCAGAATTATGGATTTAAGATGATTTGTGATATCAATTTTAATTTCAATTTTAAATATATTTTAAAATAAGAGAATATGTAACTTGATTTTCTTTAGTTTTTGTTTGATAAAAAAAATGTTTTCTTTTATATGCAAGATAGTATACATTCTGCTGTTCCTGCATTATGAGTTCATCCAGTATTACCACCACCAATAAATTAATACTTTTTGCTGTGCAGACTGCAGATTGTCATTGTTTGCTGGGAAGCCGGAGGCCACCAGCATCATAGCAACCGCTATCCCAGTGGGCAACTTGGGGGACGTCATTGATCAAATATGGTCCCAACTATATTTGGTTAATGATACCTTATAGCTACCCACTCTAATGTAAACAAAGGGTCTGGGAGCTCCTTTACTTTTGCTCTTTACCTGTTGCTGTAATTTAGGCCTGATAGATTCTAATTTCCCATTGGCTTCTTGTATGGCTCATGAAATGTGCACAGAAAGGCAACATTCTTTTTGCAGTGCTGAGCTTTTTTATAACCAGGCTTCCGGTTGATATGGATGCAAAAAAGGGTAGGGACCAGGAATTTAGGTAACTACTAACACATAATAATAAAGGATGTCACTGTTTCCAGGAGAGCTGGGCACTCAAAATCTTTCAATAATGTGCTCCAACAATGGGCTAGAGAACTTACTAATGGGATTTAAAATTCCCAGCTCTCCCAGAAGGCAGTAGGGATGCTTGCTAACATTACCCAAGCCTCCTGGATGCATTGTAAGCCAGACAGAAGCAAGTATTTTCTTTTAATGTTTTCATACAAAATCACTTTGAAGATAACTGGCAGGCTTGCATTGCTGGTATGCCTGAGTGTTTGGATGTTTGTGCAATGAACAAACACGTTCTCTATATTTAGGTGCTAAAACAAACCATGTTCAATGCATATGCTATGTTCCACATTTGGAATGGAGATTTATTATCACAACATTCACAACCAACAGCACAAGGAATTGTGCACACACGCTTGCCATGTCAAAAGTGGGTATATATGCACATGTGCACTGTGTTTTCCCTAAAAAGCTTGCATTATGGTCTTTTTAAAAATATTTTTTACAGTGATGTCAGTACACACTTCATTGTCCCTACATGAAATGCAATCCACTTAACTATATTGTTGCTACATGAAATGCACAATTAGCAAATTATTTTTTCAAAAGATTAGCAATTCTGATTTTTTTATATCCTTTATTGCTCTTTCAGGCCATGTTCAAAACACACAGGCCAATGACAAACAGCTCTGAATGCTGATATGAAATCATCTTACATTCATTAGCTAAACAAACATATTTGTATTTTACTTACAATTTTTTTTCCCACTTCCTGGTCCACTTTGGCACAAATTATGTAATCGTGCCCAAGTGTTGCATCCTGGGAAGGTTACATCAGCAGAGCATTGCTGGGAAATCTCATGTGTAATCTCATGAGATCTCAGGGAAAGTCATTTTCCTCCTCTGAGATGATGTTCATGGTCACACATGCTAGTCGCATCTACCATAATTGCAGGAAGTAAAGGGAGATCTAGTAACCTGTCCTTAGTTAAAATGGCCACTGTGAGACCAATGGGGAGGAAAAAAAAATAAGGTATGCAAAGAACTAAAAGTTGGCAATTATCTAGAAGTATCCATTTGTAGATTGCCATTACTAAACATTTCTAAAGGTGCCTTTGTTGTTATTTTGAACATATTGGTAAAGTTCCTCTTTATTACCACACACTTCCCTCTGTGTGTTCCTACACTGAAATTAATGTAATAATTAAGTTGCGCAATAAAATCTACTATAAATATAAGTGTATGGCATTTTAACCAGTAACCTTTCATTTGCTCTATCATTTCTTGCAGAGATCTAAAATTGCTGTGTTTGATAAAATGTGGACCTATATGAAAAGCGCAGAGCCATCTGTATTTGTGAAGACCACAGCAGAAGGAGTAGCCCGGGTACGGAAGTCCAAAGGAAAATATGCCTACTTGCTGGAATCCACCATGAATGAATACATCGAACAAAGGAAACCATGCG